GTGGCAGACCTGCTTTCGACTCATCACTACCTCTTCCCAGAAGAGATACTGCCAGTTTCTCAGTCTTCTTCCCAGCAACATCGCGGACGAGGACGCAACAGTCGTGGACGAGGTAGAGGCCGTGGTCGCGGCGGAATTCGGTGCCAAATATGCGATGTTCCGGGGCATACAGCACTGACTTGTTACCACCGCTATAGCGACGCACCGGGTACCCGATACGCTCCCTCGCCGACTGGACCTAGGCCAGCACCGCCTCAGGCGCATATTGCGTCACACCACCAGCAGCAGGATGATTTCCACACAGCGCCATTCTCCAACGAATGGTACCCCGATACGGGCGCAAGTGCTCATGCCACGCCTCATATGGTCAATCTCAATCATGTGGAGCCTTACACCGGTGACGAGGCCCTACGCGTAGGAGATGGCACAGGTTTGTCCATTCTGCACACTGGTAATCTAAATATACAGTCTCAGTCTCGGTCACTGTCCCTAAATAATATCCTACATGTTCCTAAATTACGAGCCTCGTTAATTTCTGTCCAAAAATTCACTCAGGAGAACAATGTTTATTTTGAGTTCCATCCTAACTATTTTGTTGTGAAGGACCGAGTTACCCAACAGGTTCTGCTTAAAGGCCCCAGTCACGGAGGGATGTACTCACTCACTACGTCACCTCCAGTTGCATTCATTTCTGCCACAGCATCTCCGCGAGTATGGCACAATCGCCTCGGGCATCCGCACACTCGCGTCCTCCGTCAAGTTCTCTCCCGGTGTCCAGTTCAAGGTTCCTTTAATTCAGTTAATAATTTATGTACTGCGTGCCAGATGGGAAAATCTGCACGTTTTCCCCTCCCAAGTGTCGAACAGTCTAGCAACTTTGTATTGGATTTAATTTTTACTGATATTTGGGGTCCGTCACCCGTACCATCAGTTGATGGTTATCGGTACTTTGTCTTATTTGTAGATGATTTCTCCCGTTACGTTTGGTATTACCCGATGAAGCTAAAAACGGACATATACACTATATTTCCTATTTTTCATACCACGGTTGAAAAATGTTTCACAAAGTCTATAAAATGTATACAGCCTGGCATGGGAGGTGAATACCGTCGGTTACACTCAGTTTTCACCTCCGCTGGTATCATACACCGCTAGTCGTTACCACACACCCATGAACAAAATGGGCGCGTTGAGCGTAAACACCGACATGTCGTCGAAACGGGACTTGCGTTGCTTGCCCAAAGTCATGTTCCAAAACAATATTGGTCATATGCATTCGAGTCGGCAGTCCATTTAATTAATCGGCTGCCATCCTTTGTTTCAAAAAGTGTCAGCCCCTACTATTGTCTGTTTCGTAAAGATCCCAATTATAACATGTTGCGCGTGTTTGGGTGCGAATGTTTTCCGTGCCTACGCCCATACAATCGTCACAAGATGGACTTCCGTTCCACAACTTGTGTATTTCTGGGCTACCCAGAATCTTGTCTTGGTTACAGGTGTTTGGACAGGAATTCAGGGCGTGTGTACATAGCTCGTCAGTACGATTTAATGAGGAGGTGTTCCCGTATGCAACTAGCAATCCTCCACATACTCCTACCAGTGGTTTGGGTGGTGCCTCTGCCAGTTCCGCACCGGTTCCATGGGCATCAGCACCGGTCCAGCAACCGGGGCTAAGCCGCGCTACTCCAACTACACAGGTGTCTTTGCCGACCCCGACGCCCACATCGGACGGGCCTGTCTCGTCCTACAATCCGTCCACTTCGTCCACTACTACAACTCGACGGCGTAAGCGAACGGTTCGTCCCAATATCCGCACTCACACCATGCAAATGCGGCAAAGGACCAATACGCAGCGCCGAACACCCGCTGCTATGATTGCTTCGGTAGACGACGATGAGCCAACGTGCCACTCACAAGCCGTCAAATGCCCACAATGGCATAGCGCAATGGACACTGAATTTAATGCCCTTTTGCAGAACAACACCTGGCAACTGGTACCCGCCCAGGACGATATGAACATCATAGGCTGTAAGTGGGTTTTCCGAGTAAAAAGAAAAGCGGATGGCACTATTGAGCGTTATAAGGCTCGGTTAGTGGCCAAAGGGTTTAACCAAATCCCGGGAGAGGATTATCTTGAAACTTATAGCCCGGTAGTCAAACCGACTACGATACGGCTATTACTTACTTTTGCTGTGTCCAAAGGCTGGGCTATGCGACAACTTGACGTCCACAATGCCTTCCTAAATGGACACATTGATGAGAACATTTACATGCGTCAGCCGCCTGGCTATGTGAACGCCAACTTCCCTACTTATGTATGCAAACTGCAACGCTCCTTGAACGGGCTTAAGCAAGCCCCCAGAGCATGGTTCAAAAGGCTACAGGACTTTCTAGTGCAGATTGGGTTCCAGCCCTCCAAAACAGATGTGTCCTTGTTCATATTCAACTCGGGACTAGATCGTTTATACATTTTAGTCTATGTTGACGACATCTTGCTGCTCGGGAACAATACTGCAAAGGTAGAAACTGTGCTCGAGCAATTATCCTCAACATTCAAAATACGAGATCTAGGGGTACCTCAGTTCTTTTTAGGAATTGAGGCTACCTACGACAATGGTGCTGTTGTTCTATCACAACAACGCTATATGATGGAATTGCTGCGCAAAGCAGGAATGGAGTCATGCAAACCGCTGACAACACCGATGTCACCTGCCGCATCCGTCAACTCTGACCAACCACAGTTGTTTGACGATCCGACAGCTTACAGGAGTCTTGTTGGGTCGCTTATGTACCTTCTCATCACCCGCCCCGACTTGTCTTTTGCTGTAAACCGACTGTGCCAGTTCATGCACAGTCCTATGACGGAACATTGGGCCGCGCTCAAACGAGTGTTACGGTACGTCCAAGGCACCCGAGAGCTTGGCTTACGGCTCACACCTACCACGACTCCAGTCATCCACGCTTTTTCAGATTCGGACTGGGCAGGTTGCTCTATTGACAGGAAGTCAACCGGGGGCTATGCAGTCTTCCTCGGTCCAAATCTTGTGTCGTGGGTCTCCAGGAAGCAGCGAACTGTCGCCCGCTCTTCTACTGAAGCTGAATACAAAGCATTAGCCGATGCTGCAGCTGAGGTAACTTGGGTTCAGTCCTTGTTACGGGAGTTGGGCCTACATACAGGCACTGTACCGGTTCTGTGGTGTGACAACTTGGGGGCAACGTATCTCTGTTCCAACCCGGTGTTCCATGCAAGGACCAAACATGTTGAAGTGGATTATCACTTCGTAAGGGATATGGTGTCTGCCGGGAAAATGAAAGTGAACTTTGTGACTACTCACGATCAGCTAGCGGATGTGTTTACCAAACCTCTCTCAACAGCACGGTTTACTGACTTACGTGGCAAGCTTGGCGTGGTACAGTGTCCCCCGTCAGCTTGTGGGGGAGTATTGAACAGTTAGAGCCTTACTAGGCTGTTAGAGGTTGTTATGCCTATTCTTTTGGTTATTTTCTAATCTCTTCATGTATAAATAAGCTCCAGCAGGGTGTGAATAAATACAATATATAATACACTTTACCAATTGGGAGTATCGACGACACTTTGAAGTAGTGTCTTTCAGGTTCATTCCGAGATCAGTGAATAACATAATGATACGATCCCACATCGGCTCCACAAGAGATTGTGGAGTGGTACTTAATGAGGCCAAACCTCCACTCATGAGCTAGCTGGAGTTAGGGTCTTGACTTGAGTACCGTATTATCTGGTGCTCTTGTTGAGAGGCTGGAGTGTGGTGGAAAAGGACTACCTGGAAGAGGGTTACCCGGTGCTTGATAAGGTCCGATCCAAAGTGAAGCCATTCAAAGGGGAAAAGGGTTACTTGGTGTCAAGAAGAGTACGGAGTGTGAGCCGTCTGGAGTAAGCCGGGCTACATGGTGCCGAGAAGAGTACGGAGTGTGAGCCGTCTGGCTTCTGAAGGGGTGGGCAATGATACGATCCCACATCGGCACCACAAGAGATTGAGAAGAGTCCGGAGTGTGAACCGTCTAGATCAGAGTAAGCCGCCGCAAACGTCGGCTTCTCAAGGGATAGGCAACGATACGATCCCACATCGGCTCTACAAGAGATTGTGAAGTGTTACTTAAGTTCGGGCCAAACCTCCACTCTTGAGCTAACTTTTGTGTTACTTAATTATACGTTTTTATTTACCACTTAATATCCCGAATGCTAGATCGTGTAGTATTTTTTTTGTCAATCAACAAGACAACAATGAGGGGATGAAATATCTTTAAAACATAATTGTCATCATTACAGGTATATATATTCAATTATAATCAAATTAAACACCAAAAAACCTACTTTCAAAAAAAAAACACCAAAAAACCTTATTTGACCATACCAACTTCTTTATAGGCAGAGTCAAAATTGCACCACAAAATACTTTATATATATTAAAAAAAAAAATCTTACGTATTGAATAGTCTTGAGTAATTTCTTATAAATAGAGGTCACCTTTTGAGGTTTTTTTTTTTTTTTTTTTTTTTTTTTTTTTTTTTGCAATGACTCATTCATGCTACAAGTATCCAATTACTTTAAAAGTGTGTTTATCTGGGGAGTTGAAGTTATTGTTGAGTCTTGAACATTTTTCTTCTGGTAATTCCGTTGCTCATTTCAAATATATATATATATATATATATATATATTTTGTGAGGAGAGAGTTGAGTAATTAGTCTTGTATACAGTATAATTACTGTACACGTTTTATGCTCAATGAGTTATTTGTGTTGTAATAAACTAGTGTGTTAGGCAACAAAGTATTGAAAAATAAGGTTATTTCTTCAATGGTACTACCATGCTTGTACGCACCTTGTGCTCAAGGAGTTACTTGCATCGTAAAGGGTGTTGTGTATTTGTCAAGAAAATTTTATTAAAAAGAATTATTATTTTTTATGTTATTCAAAAAAATCTTATACAGAAACCCCATAAAAACTTGACAATTTAAACACCATTTCATGCCCAATAACAGGAATAAGATATCAAACTTTAATATGCTTGCTTTGTAATATACTAATATGGCAACATTCTAAAATAGTTAGTACCGACTGAAACACTTCATCCACTTGATGAAGTCGTTCAGTACGTCGTAAATTTTTTGGAACTATGTTGTATTTATTCATTCCTGTCTAGTTTTCCACCATAACATCTATGCAACTGAGGTTACACCTACTACGCACCTGTTCTGCTTCAAGATCTACATTAAAATTTCTGTGATCAGGTCATCCACCAATAACTTCTCAATACCCTTACCGATTACGTTGATATCATCACTAACATCCAGCCAACGCATTTCCCGCTCCAAAATCCTCCAAGATGTGTCCCTGTTTGCGACACTATCATGGTCTGCCAGCAACCGATGCAAAGCGCCAGCAACTTCTTGTTTCTGGCAAACCAAATTAGCGACCCTTTTTTGCTTCAACCAAGGGTAGGGGTCTACATAATGCCTGAGAATCTCCAACAGAGCCAAATTTACACGGTCAAATAACAGTCTCCTCGCATACCTTGGTACACCAATCACTTCATCACTATACTTCTTCTCCAGATTCTCAAAAATTGATGGACTAAGAGGGCAGTATGGAGAATGACAGGTTGCAGTGAAGGCATCAAGGTCGGACTCCTTGAAACCAGAATCAGTAAGAACGTCATCTATATAGGAAGATTCCCAGCTTGGTGACGTCAACATGCATTTCTCTTCAATCACTGTTGAAGGATGCCAAACATCTTGATTATCCTCAGTGTGATCAGCAAAAGATTCTGGCTTCATTTTGAGTTGCTCAATTTTCTTGCGTAGATCTAGCAAGAACCAAAAAGGAAGGAATTAAAACAATAGGAAACAATAAAAGCATATGTATAAACAATAAAACTTGTTGAATAGTAGAAACCCTAACCCTATTCCTACAATTCAACAGAACTCAAAGATGTATTTAAGCATGTAACACAACATAAATTCCAAGGAGCTTCAATGCCTTGCAATTTACTAATAGTATTTAAGTCCCTTACCACTGATTTTAGCACTGACAAACTCCAAGCACTCTGAACCAGAAAGGGAATCCTCCGTAAAAGTCACCTCCTCGAGAACTGAAACTGGACTAGGATGACCACCCTCCCTGGAGCTTTCAGATGATTCCGATTCAGGAAGAGGACACTGCGAAGGGACTGCAAGTTGGACTGAAGTTTCCTGGAAAATCAGAAAATATTCAGTTTACATCAGATGTGAACAGATTAGTAACAGACTAACAGGTGCAATGAGGTTGTAGTCTAAACTCTGAGAAGTGAATCAAGTGAGCATGCAAATTGGATGTCCTTAATCCTTATCAAGGTCATTGAGGCTCAATTCATGGTATACCAGTGTGTTTTTGGCACACTTGTCATTTGGTTTTATATCTTACAACATACATGAGCATATTTCAAGGGATCACCTTGTGTAAATCACATAGCTCAAAGTTATTCCCATCAACAACTCTCAGTTAATAATGGAAGGCAAACTTGAACAAGACAACCCATGCTAGATTCTCCACCACATAGAAAACCTTAAAACCAAAAACACCTTCAAGGAAGCTACTTTGTTAAAACTTAACTCTATAGTAATTCTAAATACAGCTCTCTACAAATGTTTCTTGCTTCTGCAAGATTGACCCCATATTTGAACTACCAACACTTAAGTCCTAGTCCAACATTTGAAATTTGATCAGAATTTTAGGAAACACCCTCACTCAGGGCTCTGTGTATCACTTTAAGTAGTTAACTTTCCAAGTATATCTTGAGGCAGTGTAAGTCATATACATAATTGGAGCATAAACTAAATGTAAAAAGAGCAGCAATGAGTACAATATAAATTTTGAAGTTTATTCAAATAGTGAATAATCAAACCTGAAGATCAGAAGCATCTTGGTCCGGAAACAATGTTTCATTACTTTCTGTAAAAGTCTGGGGAATTAGGTCAATAGAAGACTCTGAAATTACGCTCTCATTTGCAGTATGTTTTGCTGAATCAATAACAGAAATTGCATTCTTGCTGACTGGCATGTCAGAAGCCAAAAGCAGCTGCTCTGACATATTGCACTCAACACTGGTACTCATCATTTTGCAGAATATTGCTTCCTGCAAAGTATCATTAACACCAGTTGTTTTCCGGCGACTAGAGCGAAGTTTCTTCCTGCCAGATCTAATCTCATTGAACAAAATTTCCTCAGTTTGACTTTGGCTTCCATCCCATGACTTAATTCTACTACGATCCACAGGCCGTATACCATTAACAAGCTGTCTAGGCCTCAGATTTCGGCTATTTGCAACTACTTCATGTCGCGTACTCAATCCTTGAATTTGGCTACCAAGAGGAGAAAGTGATCTGGACCTGGAAGAAACATATACATCCTTCCAACCATCCCTACTGCTAATGCCTAAAGGATTTTCCGCCCCATCAGTCCTTCCACCAAATTTATCAGAGGCTCCATCAAGGGTCACCATGGTATCTAAATGTACTACCTCAGTTTCTCTATCTGTCAAGGAAAGCATTTCACCTAGTGTGTTTCCCTTGTTAACAATTTCCATGTCCTGACACCTTTGAGTCAATTTCCACCTCTCAGATAACCTTTTCTTAGCCTCCCTGCTCACAGATGACTCAAATGTGGCAGAAGATGAAGACTTACATCGGTTATTCCGAGAGTACAAATTCCCCGAAGACAGTTTCAACATCTCTAGCTCACTGGCAGAATCATTGTCATACACGTCAAATGAACTCTCATCTGTGGCATAACCTACAATGTCAGAATATATCAAACTCACATCTTTTCGCACATTTAAAGGTCCATGAGAATTTCTCATTCGTGTTGTGATTTCCTTGGCAATCTCTCTAGCTTCGTTTGAGTGGGAGCTTAAATGCCCTGCATATTTAGATGAATTCTTCATTTCCTCAAACCCAGTTTTCCCAGTCCCAAAATTTAGGCGTCTTGCAAGCTTCTTTTCCTCAGAGGGATATTGAACAGAAGTAACATCACAGTGACTCTTCCCACAGTTTGGCTTCAGAACAACAATTCTAGTCGGAAAAATGTTTTCGTTTTTCCCTTTTACATGAATCTTAGGTGACTTGAAAGAACTATGAGCCCCATGAGGATTCGGCAAATGAAATAGGTGGCCATCCTCTCTTTTCCTTTGCAAATTGATATCATGATTCCATGAACCACCTCTCTCTGGTTTCCTTAGTATGGCAGTGACTTCGCTATTTGCAGAAGTTGCTGGTTTCAGAACAGCTATGTGACTACACATAGAACTAGAAGTGTCAACTTGAAGATCAAACAAATGCTTTGGAAACAAGGAATCACGTTGTGGAAGACACTTTAGTAATAATTCATCATTTGATTCTTGTTCCTCAAGTGTGTGATCAAATCCTTTAGAGCTCTGAAGCTTCTCATCAGTGGAGAGATGTGTTGATTCTAAATATTCATGCTGAAGGACTGCCATCTCAGGCATGTCCATGTTAGGTCCTGACTTTGTACTCCATCTTGATGAAAAACGTCGGTTAGCAATATGAGAAGCTTCCAAATCCTCATTCATGTCATTGAATTCATGGTACTCCATAGAGTTCCTCCTTCCTTGGTCCACAAAAAGATGCACAGTCCTGTGGCTGTCAATTTTTTCCTTTCTCTGCCGGGAACTCTCTGACAGCCTCCTTTGCTGTCTAGAAAGTTGTTGTGGAGATGGCATACCATCAAGACCCATCAATCTGGCAATGATACTGGGTGACTTTCTTTTTGATTCAACTTCATTTAACATCTCTTCTGCAATTAACTTCTTCATTGGTTTACCTATAACTCGTTTAGAAGCACTCTCCCCCAACTCAATCATGAACTGCAGATTACATAGGAAAAATTAAAGGTACTTAGAATAAATGTTGGCAGATATTTATTTTTAGCTACTAAATGAGCTTTGAGGAAGTTAAGGAAAACACTAGCCAAAATGTTTTGCAGACCATATCTTCATTAGCAGAGGAATCATATCGACAGTGAGAATTGTATGTGATTCTTGGGGCTGCAATCTTTTTCTGGATCTGTTTGCTTCCTGGTGCAAATTAAAGTACATTAAGATTGACACTGCAACAAGATTTTAATATACTACAAAAAGGATGGAGCTGTTAACTTGCCACAAAAAAGTACTAAGATGGTGTCAAATACACCAAAGGAAGTATACACTAAAACATGCAGTTCCAGACCATAACTCTCCCTTAAAAGTGTACAAAAACATTAGACACAGGAATTTTATACATCTCTTAATTTGAAATGGTGAAAGAGTGAAGATCTAATCTACATCTACATAGACAAAATGAAAGTTGAAAGTACCATTCAAAAACTGTTATTCACAAACTGTTGGGAAGAGGATTTACTAAGACCAAGGGAACCAGAAAGATCATGTAAGAGGACCAGAGTCAAAATTTGTCATAATGACAAAATGTAGTGAAATCATTGTTGTTTCCCCCCAGCAGATTCGAGCTCACTCACAAATCATCATAACAAACTATACTGTAACTAAAGCACTCTCCCTTTGGAAATTTACAGCTATACAGAAACCATCAAGAAAACCTAAGTCGTAAATAAAAATAAAAAATTACATAGCAATAAGAACCACTTTCGCAGAAATATTAGAGCAAACTTTTTCACAGACAAATAAAACAGACGCATGAGGATGCAGATGTTTGGAAATTAAGACTGGAAAACTGAATTTAAAACTAAAACAAAAATACTGGAAGAGGTATTTAATTTATATCCCAAAGTCTTTTAGCTTGGTAGAATAAATCCAATTCCAGAAATTATACGGCATTACTAATTCCAGTAGTCACGACGACTGATTTTCAGCAGAAACATCGAATTTCCGCCGCTTGCTTCACTTCTCTTCTCAATTTCCTCTTTAACCAAACACGCACAGCACACGCGCACGCACACCACTGGCAAATGCATATACAAATACAGTTGCAACCTCCTCATATATGTATACAGAGAGAGAGAGAGAGAGAGAGAGAGAGAGAGAGAGAGAGAGAGAGAGAGAGAGAGAATGCATGTTGTGCTGTTTTACCTTGAAAGGCACCTGAAGCTCGTTTTGACTTCCTGGGACGATGAGTGTTCTCCATTCCTTAAAATTCGCTCGCGAACTGCCGAGAGAAAACCAAAACCAAATTCAAAACAATATTTGAAATGCAACACTGAATGTAAAAGGGAAAAAGATTAAAATTCGCAATGAGATTTCCGAGAAAACGCAAAAAAGTAAAATCAAAAAAATAAAAAATAAAAAACATAGATCGGAAATCTCGAAATAAAGCAAGGCTCCACCTCGAAAAGCAAAACCTACATTCACTCCATAGCTCATTCACTGATCAATGAACAGCATAGAGAGAGAGGGGGGGATAGGGGAGAGAGTTTCTAGAATTGTAGGGAGAGAAAAGGAAGAGAGAGTTGGTTAGAGAGAGAAAGTAGAGAGAGGAGGGGTTTGAAAACACTTTACAGTGGGAGGCGGGCATTAATGACGGAGAGTGTATGAGTTTTCGGTTCAGGGAGTACACACAGTGAGGGTGTGGTTATGTGTATTTTTGAATTGGAGTTTGAAATATAAAGAATACGGCTGAGAGGAGAATGGGGATAGAGAAGGAGACAGAGTGTGCCTATTTTAGCGGGCAAGTAGTGGAGGAGTGGGGACCTACCTGCTTAGGTGGAACGTTAATCATTTGCCATGTCATGGAGGCATCTTCTTATCGAGTTTTATTACATGTGCTCTCAAATTTTACTTCCTGATGTAACGGGATGCTATTTTTTTAATGTGGATCTTAATACAAGTGTCTACATCAAGATTTTGTGTGTGAAAATAAAAATTCAAAATAAAAAATAAAAATACACATAACATTTTCCCTTGGTATGTACTATGTACCCGAATGTTGTTACTTAGATAACGAGATATCTTGAATAGCGACTAACTATAGAAAACACATTTAAATTCGTATCATATTCAAACTCATTTCATTATTGGAATCAATGAAATGGCTATTCTCTTATTAGTCAAATCCCGCGTATAAAATGAGATGATATAAATATTATTCTATGTCTCATTTTTATCTATAATGTTTGTTATTTATTGATCAAATCAACTTTTTCTTTTTTTGTTATTTTTTTTAGTAATTTTTAGTTATTTTTAGATTTGATTTATTGTGTTTATTAATACTTTTAATGTAGTTTATAAATATATAAATTATATATACTACTACTATATTTAATATTATTAAAAGTTGATCTGCATGGGCAGCTCAACTGGTCGCAGAGGTGAAATTTTGGAAGAATGACCAGGGATCGAGTCCCACCGTGGGAACAACCTTTCAAAGTGAGGGGCGTTCCTTGTGCGCAGTGAGCACCGGTCTAAAATTTGTTACATATACTGATTTTATTAGAGGAAAAAGAAGAATTAATAATATAATTTGAGAGAAGGTATACATAGATGAGAAATGCAAACCAACTTTTGAAAAAAAAGTGAAAGAGTTAGTAACTTAGAAGTTAGAAATTAAGTGCTTAACCACCGTTAGCAACTAAATGAATGAAGACAGAAAGGAAAATGTTTTCTTCCTCTCATAAAGTTTATTTCTAATATTTTCTCTTTTGATGTGGCATTTATTTATTGGGTGTTATAAATTTATTAACTTCACTAATTCAAAGTAAAATTTAGGTACATATGAGATGTTAGTATTGTTACCACATCATGAAGAATTGGTTGGAGAAGAAAAATATTAAGGATCTCAAGCATTACACAGAGAGGCATTGAGTGCTTAACCACAATTAGCAACTTAGTAACCCCATTAGCAACATTTTGGAAAAAATAATAAAGACCAAGGATAAATGTAAAAAGAAAAAAAAAATTATAATTGTACCCAAAAAAAAAAAAAAAAAAAAAAAAAAAAAAAAAAAAAAAAGAGAGAGAAAGGGAGAGAAGCCAGGAAGGTACACAATATATAGCGATAAATAATTACACCAAACACATTTTGTAATCCTATTATCACTCTACTCTTATTGGTTTTTTATATATTCTTTTAGTTGATAACAAAAATTAAATAGTGTTTAGTTATCGAATGCAAAATAATTTAACCTATATATAAAGGTGTAACAATTTTAAAATGTTTACATATATTCTTTTGTTATTAGATATTTTGGGTTATTTGACAATAAACATAATTTTATTATTAGATTTTTTTTTTTGGTTACAAGAGAAACTTGTACTTATCATCCGATATATGCATTCTGTTAAATATTTGGGTTATGTGACAGGTGATATGAATGGTAACATGTATTTAAAAAAAAAATTGTATGTCAACTTAATATATATATCATTGAGTCAAGCTGAATTTTCTTAAATTAATTGAATAGTCAAAACACCATTTATGGCATAATTGAAATTCGAGAATAAAAATTGGTAAATGTCAATAGTCAATGGATCATTCATGAAATTAACTTAATAGTATAATTAGATAAAATTATTGTAGGGTACAAAGACTTATACGGAGTATTAATTAAATTGTTACTTTTCAAAATTTTGAATATAGTTATCACAAATATAAACACTTAAAAAAAACAAACAAACAAACAAAACAAAAAAAAAAACAAAAAAAAAAACAAAAAAAAAAAAAGTAAAAGACATTTTTAGTTCTAGACTTATAGTGGCACGGACAATTTTAGTCCTCCTTAAAAAAATCAGACAATTTGTGGACAGTCTTATTGTGACGACTACAATTTTGGTCCTCCATCAATATTCCCGTTAGATGGATTGTTAGATAGGGGGTAATTTCGTCTTTTCAGAGCTCTTTCCTTCTTCCCCTTTTCATTCCCGTTCTCAGCCAGACCTAACATTGGAAGACCTAATTTTGACTCTAATCTTACCAATCGAAGACCATGGTGAAGACGTAATTCGCATATTGAAGATCAAATTCGCAGTGAAGAAAGGCCACATTCGCAGCTCTACGCAACAATTAGACGAAATACAGGACAAAGGGAGACAAATAGAGACGAATAAATCAGGTACGAAAGCAGTTCGTTTATCTTTGTGTGCTATGTATGAGTTCTCTGTGTAGAGGGATAACTTAATGATTAAAATTGTATGCTATGTATGAGTTCTCTGAGTATTGAAAGTAGTTCCTTTATATATGTATGCTATCTTGGTGTATATATCCATTCACCATATACCTTTCGCTTTGTAGTTGACGAACTAGAAGAGTTACAACTTCCTCCTTGCATTTTCCTTCGACCAGATTTGATTCTGCAGAGAGGGTGTTACTTCTCTTCAATCTGCCTCTTCAAAAAGCCTCGTCACTCTGGAATGAAGAACAGAAGCACATTGAGGTATTAAACAGAGGAGGTATGCAGAAAAAACGAAATTACCCCCTCTCTAATGGTCCATCTAACGGGAATATTGACTGAGGACCAAAATTGCCCTCGTCACAATAAGAGTGTCCACAAATTGTCTGATTTTTTTTAAGGAGGACTAAAATTGTCGGTGCCCAGTCTAGGACCAAAAATGTCTTTTAACAACTTACGGATAAGCTATTTCTACTATAAAGATTTTATGTTTTTCCATTTAAGTTTTCCTACATTTTGATTTGGGAAAATGATACTTTTCCCCCCTGAGTTATATACTTATAGCACTTTCCTCCCTGAACAATTCAAGTGGTTGTTTTTCCCCCTGAAATGTTAAATAGACATATTTACCCTTAAAATAAATATTTCATTTATTTTTCTTCTCCAACAAATTATGACCATAATTTGGTTCAAACCAAACAAACACTATAGCAACCAAACCGAAATATTCCAATTACAATTTAGAATCGAAACTCGATATTTAGAGTTTATTAAAATCGCGAACCGGGACAGACGGTTCATGTTCCGAAATGAAAAAAATAAAATACATTTATTGTTGAATTTAGACTATTTTAAAATAAAAATAAAATTTTTTAAAATAAAAACGGTTCAAAATCGCGAACCGGATCCGTAGCTGCCGGTTCACGGTTTAGGATTCAATTTTTTTGATTCATAATTTTATTAAATTGAAATCCAAATATTGGGTTCTAGATCTGAATCATAACTGGAAACTTTTAATTCGATTGCTATAGTGTCCGGTTCAGTTCGAACCGAACCGTGGTCATCCCTACATACACACAATAATTTATTGGAGAAGTAAAATAAATAAAATGTTTATTTTAAGGACAATTTAATATATCAGAGGGAAAAACTACCATTTTTAAAATAATTAAGAGGCTAATATGCTTACTTAAATAATTGAGGGGGGAAAAGTGTCATTTTCCCTTTTAATTTTATTTGAACATTTCAATGTATATGTTTTCTGTTTCAAATGAAAAAGCAAAAAGCTAAGAAAGAAAAAGTTCTTTAAAGGTTATTAAATGGGCATGAAAATATATATGGGATTGACTTAGCTAGGGTGTTTTTGGTTCATGGATTTAGCTATCAGAAATGGAAATCAAAGTCATTGTTATTGTTTGGTTGACAGGTTTCTAGAACACTATTATGGAATTTGATTACTCCGTTAATTAGAAAATTCATTCACTAGTAAAATAAGGGTTTCATTCCATTATTCACCCTCCTACTTGGTAATTTGATTTTTAAGTTTGCATTAGTGCTTTTAGATTTTTGTTTTGTTTTGTTTTTTGTTTTTTGTTTTTTTTTTTTTTGTTCATATTTGTCTTAATAGTGTTCAAGGGCTGGGAAAGAGGTGCTTCTTAAGAGTGTTGCCCAAGCGCTACCAATGTATACGATGAGCATCTACTTCTTGCCGGTTACGTTCTGTGATCGTCTTGAGAAGATAATGAACAAGTATTGGTGGGAATCAGGCAACAACCGTGGAGGGGGTATTAGGTGGATGTCCTGGAGTCGTTTGTGTGAGCGGAAGGTGGATGGCGGGCTGGGATTTAAGAAGCTAAGCAGATTCAATATTGCACTACTAGCCAAACAGGGATGGCGGCTTTTGACGAACCCGAACTCCTTGGTGGCTCAATTGTATAAGGCTCGCTACTATCCGAATTCTGATTTCATGAACGCTAAATTGGGAGTGAATCCCAGTTACTGTTGGCGCTCCATTCTTGCTGGACAAGATACTCTACGGCGTGGTTGTTTTCATAGGATTGGTAACGGAGCTACTACGAAGGTGTGGACGCAGCCATGGTTACCTAATGATGAAGATCCCTACATTAGCACTGCCCTTCACACTCAGAATTCTGAAATGCTGGTTAGTGATTTAATCATCAGTGATACTCACGAATGGAATATTGATTTGTTATCCATTCTTTTTGAAAGCCGGGACGTGGAACTCATAAAGAAAATTCCTATTGCATTTCATTTTGAGGACCAATGGTGTTGGAGGGGAGACTTACGTGGTGTATATTCTGTGAGTCAGGGATATCGTCTTTTAAGTGGTGAGTCGAACGGAGAAAGTCAATCTCGGGCTTGGCATGCAATATGGAAGTTGAAAATCCCTCCAAGTATACAAAACTTCATCTGGCGATGTCTGCATGGTACGCTGCCTACGTTATTTGCGTTGGCTGAAAGAAGAGTTGAGGTTGATACA